AAGCCTAACAATATCACCCATGGTTCCTGAAGCTGGGCCATGGAATCTAGGATGGTGAAGCTACAAAGTGCAGCGTTACAAGATTTCCTCATAAGCCAAAGTGAATTCTAGTCACAGAAGCTTCCAGAGCTGCAGGGTAGTCCAACAGCCTCAGCTGCTTTAGGAATATCTGGTAGTTTGAGCTGTCAATAGAATTGTTTTTCCCCACTGACTCCCCAGCCAATGTAAAACAATTGCTGGCTAAGAATCTCTACCAGAAAATAGTTTAGCAGTACAATGACTTGAAGGGAAATTACTTAAGCAGCACAGAGACTGTTCCAAGGTATGTATCAATCAGTTGTAATTGGCTTAGGGCACTGAAATACATGGGCATGTAAGCTAAAACATGAACTGAATAAAGATGATCTATACAAGTATGGGATATACCCACTGATTAAATTACTTAATGTAAGTGTGATATTCTTTTTAAAAATAATTAATATACAGTATTTTTACTATTTTAAAAGTACTTTTCTCCATGTGTTTTCTCAGATTTTTAAGATACTAGAAGGTACAAAAACATTTTAACTAGCAGTATTTAGTGTTATTAAAATCACGGGCCTCTTTGAGAGTCTGATGAAAACTGCCCCTCAGATACACTTAATGTCAAATTACATCTTCCATTTATATAGTAAAGGGAGCTATTCCCTTCTCAAAACATATGATATCTGATATTCTAGGATTAATTCTTGTTCCCTTAACACCAGTCCTACTACCAGGATTCTATGAAATTGTTTTTCCTATGTTCAAGAATGGAAACTTGTACTGCTGACAATGGAAGACATTATGCCTACTCACTGATAATTATATACCTTCTATCGGTATAACTGAGATAAGACTATGATTTGGAAATGCTAAAATTAGTATGGTGAAATGGACAATACCTAAATTTGCATTATGCATAAAAAGGCAGTTAAGGAATTGAGAGAATAAATAGTGAGATGACAAGGGTAAGCAAATGTAAGGGAGGAAATCTAGATATTTCTAAGACAAAGATGGGTGAAACCATCTTCAGTCAGCCTACTTTTTATTTCATTAAAGACCATCAAAATTTCTGAAATTAAAAAAAAGTGAGTTTAAAAAGAAACACTGCAAGCTTTTTATCTTTACTGAAATGTTATTTGTCTCTATTCTGTGATATCAGGGAGCTGTTTTTGAGCTGAATCTAAAGCAAAAGGAATGTGTGAATATGTTCATTCTGCTTTCCTAGGGGATTAGTTGCATAGAAAGTGCTATAGAAAAAGAAATATTCCCAACTTATCATCAAAAATAATGATTCTTGATATGAGGAATTCATTGTAATACAGAAAACTAATTTACTGTGAAAAAGTTAAATTCTTATAAGTTTATAAATTATAAAGTTCAAGCAAGTTTTCAGATGGTTACATGGGATATAACAACTTCTAACAGAAATTAATCTGAAATTGTACAAATTTTAGTCTTATACCAAATCTTGTTTAGATATAAAGTATGAGAGCTGAGAAAATATATTATTTTGGTTTGCTTGAATTTATAATCTTTTATAATTTATAGATGACATTCTAGAGGCTGTTAATCCTTAAACATCTTAGTCATTTTAAACTTGATTTCTGATAAAAATCCAGTCTATGGTAATTTTAAATCTTCTGATTTCCTTGTCTTCCCTTTGAAGGGAGTTTAACTATTATGGATTTTATTTATTCATTCATTCATTCATTCATTCATTTATTTTAAAGATTTTATTTATTTATTTGACAGAGAGAGACACAGCAAGAGAGGGAACATAAGCAGGGGGAGTGGGAGAGGGAGAAGCAGGCCTCCCGCCAAGCAGGAGCCCGATGAGGGGCTCGATCCCAGGACCCCGGGATCATGACCTGAGCTGAAGGCAGACGCCCAACAACTGAGTCACCCAGGCACCCCATTCATTTATTTATTTTACTTACCTAAGTCAGGCTTTAGGTCAGTAGGCAAGCTTAACTTCCTTGACATCTTTGCTGAAAAATAAAACGCATTTTTAAAGTTCTGAAGAATATTTGATTCTTATTTGTTAATACTAACTCTCCTCCAGATAGAAGTAAATGATTTTATTACTAAATCTAGATTCTAAGATAATTAAAATATGATTAATAATATTATAGGTTGAAAGTAAATCTTGTTTTCAACTTTTTAAAAGTTTGTACTTACTTGATGTAATATCTTTGTGTGCTTGAAGCTGTTACTTCAAGAAAGCTTTTAAATTCTAACTGTTAATTATTTCTTAGGCTCACAGGAAAGGGTTAGGCTTTTCTAAGAGAAGTAGAGTCATTTCTCAGAAGGAAGGTGTTGCAGGTAAGGACAATAGAGGCAGAAGACGGAGTTTGGATAGTTGATATAATAAAATCTTTCCAGTTCCTCATCTTCATAGCTACTGTGTTCATCATTTTTTAAGTTAATCTCTAGAATATAGGACACCTTCTAAGATTAAATTTAAGTATTTGATTACATCATACAACTATGAGAATTCACCTATTCTTGATACAAGTTAACACCTCTATTTACATGTCAGTGCAAAACAAACAAAACAAAGTCATGCCAATCTAAAATTATGGTATTTACAAAAATGTAAACTATATGTCAATTTCTATTTTGCACCAGAATAAAAAAGCCTCTGTATAAACTTACTCGGAATTCACTTTCCATCCTCAAAGTCAGTTACTGCCTCAATCTAGGAAGTGATTTAGAGTTAGGAGTTGTTTAACTATATCATGTTAGTGGCAATGCATGCGTAACAGAATAGTGCTTCCTATGCACAATTTTGAACAAGCACTTGTTTGTTAATACATGAATGCATATATTGGGTTAAATTTTGGGCTGTTAAGAAATATTTAAAGCACAGACCCTGCTAGTCCATAAGGGCGCCATGTAAACAAAGAGAAATCCAGTCATAGTATATAACTTCCACATCTAAAAAAATGACAAATCCAGTATTAGGAAAGAGGCATTAGGCAAACTGGGAAGGGGTGGGGGATTCAAGTTTTTATTTCTAAGCTTCATCAATCTAATCATCATCCTCTAAAAATCAAGAATGAGTCAAATATACAATCAGTCCTATCCCATTTTCACCCAGACATAATCAGTATCAGTTAAAAGATAAAATGTACTACAAAACAAAACTAGCCAATGAAATCTGTGGTTAGTTGATTTCATATAAATGGTTGCCATCATACTTAATATACAATTCCCTAAAATTAGAAGATATTATACCCCCAAAACCATCTTCTAAAAATGCAATATTAAACACTTTCAAGAGAATTCAAAGAGGTTTTCACCAAATACCATGGGTACAATGTACACAGACTGATAAATAGTATCTATACAATATTATATGTTACCTGAAGTATAAAATCAGTCTGGTAGAGTCTAAAGACATTAATCAGATGGTATGGATGCCTCTCTAGACTACTCTGCTTTGATCCAGTTATTCTTTCAGACCAGTGCTTATCAAAAACTTGAAGTACACACCAATCACCTGGTGATCCTGTTAAATCAGATTCTGATTCTATACTACTGGACTAGGGCCTGAGATCTTACACTTCCAACAAGCTCCCAGAAGATGCCAGTGCTGCTGGTCTATGAACCACACTTTGAACAGCCAGGTCCCTAGACTAAAAGAAACTTCAGGATAGGAACCAAAACTAATTGAGCAAACCCAGTATGCATATGCAGTTAGTTCATAACAAACATTCCCTGAACAAGCTTCAATATCTAGGTTCGTAAAATGTGGAAGGGTAAAGTCTAGTGGTTAGGACTGGATTTGGCATCAGATCAAACCTTAGGGGGAATCCACTTCAAGCATCTACCAGATGTGTGACCCTAGGCCAATCACTTTGCCTCTCTAAACCTGAAATTTCCTCATTTGTTAAATGAGGATAGATAATAATGCCAATTTCCTAGCTGTGAAGATTATACAAGATGATGTAAGCAAAGCACTGAGCATAATACCTGACACACAATATGGATTTGATAAAAGTTAGTTATTAATAATAAATGAAATATGATTTCTAAATAAACTGCAAAATGCTATACAAATGAGCTATTAATACACTTGTAAACAACCCAGCATTCCTTTATTCTTTTTTAAAAAATTTTTAAATTTTTTATTTTTTTAAAGATTTTATTTATTTATTTGAGAGAGAGACTGAGATAGAGCATGAGAGGGGGGAGGGTCAGAGGGAGAAGCAGACTCCCTGCTGAGCAGGGAGCCCGATGTGGGACTCAATCCCAGGACTCCAGGATCATGACCTGAGCCGAAGGCAGTCGCTTAACCAACTGAGCCACCCAGGCGCCCCAGCGTTCCTTTATTCTAATTCTATGATAATATTCCAAGTAACTAAAACAAGAAAATGGGGAAAAAAAAACCTTAGGACATTAAGTATAGAATGGTATGCACCACTGTAAATTCAACCTTGTTTGTTTCAAAAACTAAATTCAACATACAGCTAAACATAACAAAGGAGAAATAACGTGAATAATTTACAAGCTAGATCAAATTTATTCCTCATTAATTTCAGACTACATTAAGTAAATATTTTGTTAATTAGAAATGTATCTGTTGAAGTTTTCACTCAGTAACCATATACATATTTCTGCCAAAAAATTTCACTAGCATGAAATTTCCTTTTGAATTTCTTAAATGTATGCTTTCAATCTCCTTCATGATTTTCTACTAGAAATTCTTTTATATGAATTCTCAAATATTCAAAAAATTTAAGTTAATCTTTCCCATAAAATACAATTTTTTTTTTTTTGGTCTAGCACTACTTAATTTATCATGTTAAAAAAACTGAATATAACCAACTTTCAAATAATTCTTCAGTTGGTCTAATTTTGACATTTTATTGAGGTTAAAATCACACACAAAAATGACTAGGCAGATTTTCTGACTTCACTATAAATGTCACAAAATGATTTAATTATGGGGTCTAATATTTTTTCCTGAACACTTTGCAACTGGAGACCCACAACCTGACCACAAACTCAATCACAGTGTTCAAAATATTTAAGCCACACTGCTATAACACCTTGATATAATTTTGAGCAATTTCCTTGAACAAAGAACTTGAAATGACAATGTTAAAATATTAACCTTTGTTATTTTGTGTTAATTCCACTTACCAATTAATATTATAAAAAAGATACAGAACTAATAATTTTAATGAAGAGAAAAATATTTTTGTTACATGTAGAGGTGGAGACAAAGGCAGAGGGATACTTACTAACCTATTAAATATTTATTGGGCACACGCCAGCCACGTGCCAGAAGGCAGGGATTTCCTGCCCTCCAAGAGTTCACAGCCCCTTGGAGGAATGAAATAACTCCACTGCAATGTACCAAGTACTAACAGATGCATGCACAAGGTGCCAATTAGAGTACACTGCACTTGTAACTTTTTTACCCTGGAACACCCATGTTCCAGGGTAAAAGATAAAGCCAGCAAGGAGTAACTCAGACTTCGTACATTTTCACAAAACTGTATGTTCCCCACTCGTTTGTTGACAGTATTTTTTCTTTTGCTGTAAAATTTACATACAAATGAACAAATCTTAAATACCTATTGAGTTTTGACAATGTACACTCCTATGTAACTCAAACCCTTAACATGATATAGAAATTCATCAACATCCAAGAAAGGTCATGCATATTCTTCCCAATCCTGTCCTCATCTCTAGAAATATCCAGTTCTGATTTTTTTTTTCACCATCAATCAATTTTGCCTATTCTAGAACTTCATATGCATGAAATTACATGGTATAAACTTCTGTGTAAGGCATCCTTCACTTGGGACAATGTTCTTTATCTTCTTCCCAAATATTTTAAAGCTTACATTTTTTTCTTCAATGTATAAAATTAGAATTTTTATATGAAAAACACAGTCTTAATCAATAGATTCACAGGCATTAATAGATTAACATCTTCTAACTGTCCTCTCATACATATGCATTTTATCTTTAAGCTTTTTTGACTTGTGTGTTCTTTACAGAAAATTTGGAAAATATAGAAACAGAAAATATAGCCACCATAAATGCCCATAATCAAGAGGCAAGATGTTTGCATATTTCCTGCTTTTTAATATCCATTTTATGTAATATACAAATCTGTATCCTACTTTTTTCCACTACTAAAAGAAACATTTTCTTTCCTCAGTTGTTAGTATATGTTAATGGCTGCATATTTATTTATACGAACACTTACTGAACAATAAGTTTTCCAATAAATAAGGCAATAAAAATGTACAAAAATATTTTCATATATTTTGATTATTTCCTTAGGAGAGCGTTCCATAGGGGACAATCATTTCTAGTACAACTTCCCCAAACCCCAAGGTCTTCTAAAGTATGTCTTTAAGAAGTAGCTTTTTTTTTTTAAGTTTAAAAGAAAGGCATATGAACATAGTATTTTACAAACTTTTGTTTAGCTGAAAACAAAGACAAACAGGGATCAGAGAAATTTGGTAACATGTACAAGTCCCAGCTTACAACTATATCCCCTCAAAACTCAATTTGTCCCATTTTCTTATAGCATTGTGTGTAGCTAAGAAATCTAAAGCCAGACTGATTATTGCCTACTTTTGAATGTAACTTTCTATTTTTTGTGAACACTTATGGCAAGGGGAAGAGCAAAAGGAGGGGGTGGGGAAGGATTTAGATCCTCGGCATTCCACACTGTATTTGTATTTATCTGCTGTCAAGTTCCATAGCCCTTTCTTCTGTAGTTTCTATCCCGGGATAGGGACTTATCTGGGTAATTTTATTGTATCAGATATTGAACTTTCAGTACTAGAATTTTCATTTTATTCATTATAAAGTTGCTATTTTCTCTTTGCTGCTGCTGCTATTCTCTAATTCTCTATCTGTTCACTCATTGTGACCATTTTTTTTTTCTTTTCAGTACTAAAACACATTATAGCAGCTGCTTTAAAAATCCTTAGCTAATTACAGCATCTAGGTCATCTTTAAGTCTGTTTCTACTAATTTTTTTTTAATTTTTAATTATGGGTCACATTTTCTCTACTTTTGATTTTGAATCTTTATTTCACATGCCTAGGAACTTTTGATTGGATACTAGGCAGAGTGGATAATGTGTTGAATGGAGTTTGTATTATATCATGCATCTTAGTAGGTGTTGAGCTTTGCTCTGTCTTGCTGTTAAATTACTGGTGGATCCTTGGTTTTATCAGGTTTTATTCTTTGTTAGGGTAGGTCTATTTCAGTTTGAATTTAGTTCTAGGATACGGCATTTATGCTAAGAAGTGATCCTTACTCTTATGGAGTGGCCTTTCTGGGATACCCAGAATGACCAAGGTGTTCAGCAACGTCTAATGGCAACAATTCCGGGCCCTGCATGACTGCTGGTATCCTTGCCAGCTCTCAGACTCATAGCAGGTGGGTGCTGCTAGGCCTTAGAGTCTTGCCCAGCTCAGGTATAGCTTTAGCCTGGAGTTGAACCTGATTTAAGCTCCACCCCCCCCAGCCCCAGAACTCTAGGAAATCTCCTCTGTGAAGTTCCTTCCTCTCAAGTACAGTATCTCACAAATTCTAGTCACTTTAGCAGCCCAGAATGCCACTCTCTGCCTCCTTAGCTTGATGAGACTGCAGCTCCTCCTGAGTTCCACCCACCCTGCCCTGCAAAAGGAAACTGTTCCACCACAGAAACCCGAGGAGGTCATGCAGCTCACCTTGTATTCTTCCTTTCTCTCAAGGATGGCAGCCCTAGACTTGCCTGTTGCTCAACGCCTAGAAAGAGCTGATATATTTTGACTAGTTTCACAGCTGTTTTCTGTGGGAGGCTAAGCCCCAAACCTAAGATCTAAAGTTGAAATTTAGGCCATATATTTTTATCTTTTAATTTTGTGACTTCTAGGGAATATACTTGTTTTCAGGTCTGTTTAGTCAACCTCCTTGATGGCAGGTCCACACGAGGCAGATCAGTTCTCCTAGCATATACTCTGTACCCTAGTATAATTCTGTGGATGAAGCAGTTGTAGACTTTATCCAGCAATTTTTGGTGATCATATTTTTACTTCTTAGGAGTCTCAGAAGCACTTGCCAACCCAGTTACCTTGTCAGCTGATTTCATTGCATGTATAAAGAAACTTCTGCTCATGCTTTGAAGTTACTCAACTCCCAGTGAGGCTTTCAAACTGAAGACATAAGATTTGAATGCATTCTTGGAAGACCCTTAAGTTGTCTGTTTTTCTCTTCTTCAACTCTTGCTCCCTGTACTCAATATCTTCCTAGTTTTGAAATCTTTTGTCACTAGAGATTATAAACTAGCTCTCTTTTCTTATGCCTTTGTCCACAGCAGAAACGACGGAAATGACAACAGTTTCTTCAATCTGAAGAAAACTGGTATCAGAGATATGTCTTGGCAGGCTGTAAACCTGAGTCTCTACTCCCTTCTTATAAACTGGAATGAAGATATCAAGCTGACTGGCTGAGTAAGCAGTAAAGAGCTTCATTTGCTTGGTACGAATAAATGAAGTGATGCATGATCACAAATCATGTCTGCAATGGTAGTTTCAACAGCAAGGAGAGAAACAAATCTCAAGAGCACTGCTTGGACCCCTGTACCACAGATGACAGTTTTGTCATGGCTGATACTTTTCAGTTCTTCGCCACTGTACAAATCTTTGTAAAGTTTCTCAATTATGGAGATTCATATTGCTTCTTTGAAATTAGGTAGCTGTTTTATAATTTTGCTTTAATTTTTCCATCTACTGTGTTCCACATCTTATTTTTCTAAGGGAAGGTTTCTTAAAAGAAAGGAAAACAGAAGTATAATTTCTGCTTTTTGGAATGTGACTTTTATCAGAAACAGTATACCAAGAATAACAGGTAAAAGGACTTATTATGGCAGTATGAAGATGCCAAAAAACCAAATCTTTGTTTATGAGGTTCAATAATTAAAAGGAGGTGACAATATCAGTTTTTCCACCACCTGCAGAGAACCAATACCACTCTTTTCAAGCAAAATGTTGAAATGTATGCATATTAAATTTTAAAAATCAGAATAGTAACAAGACTAAAAATCAGCTTATGAGATATGGCAAAGAATCCAAGGGCAAGTGAGACGAAGTAGAACTTCTTGCCACTTATCACACAATATTTTAATAGCCAATTAGAACTAATAATATCAATACCTATCAATGTTTATCTCCCATGTTAGAATATAAATTCCATGAGTTTGGAGATAATATTTATCTTGCAAAATACTGCATCTGTGTATGTGTATAACAATGTGTGGTCAATGAGCATGGTGATGAATGAATAAATAAATGAACACAAACTGTCAATGGAATTTTACTTCTACAGAAAGAAGCTGAATTTTCTCACAAATAAAGAAAAAAAGGGCAAATTAAACACAGGCCTATTCATCAAATAGATCACTTTTGAAATATGGAACACATATCCATTACCTGAAATGAAGGGGAATCTTTAAAGTTTCTCTTAAAGATTCAGCTATAGCACGTTCTTCTAATTCTTGAACTCTTATAGCTTTAGTCTTCAATATTTTTCCCATTTCTATTTGCTTCCCATAAATTCGTAAAACTTAATGTCTAGGATATCATAATAAACTCTGCAGCATTTTCTACAGAATAAAAGATGTTACAAAACCCTAAGTGTTATATGCGGAATTGTTCCTCCAAAATTTGTATGTTGAAGCATTAACCTTCAATTCCTCAGAATTTGAGGTATTTGGAAACAGGGCTTTTAAAAAGAGGTGATTAAGCTGAAATGAGGCCATTAGTGGTACACCTCATCTCATCTGACGGGAAGAGGAAATTTAAACACACAAACACCACAGCTGCACCTGCAGAGAAGGAAGATTATATGAGAGTCAATGAAAAGGCAGCCATCTGCAAGCCAAGAAGAAACCAAACCTTTTAACACCTTGATCTTGGACTTCTAGCCTCCAGAGCTATTCTAGAGGAAATAAATTTCTGTTGTTTCAGTCACCCAATCTTTGGTATTTTGTTACGGCAGCTACTTGCAAACTAATACAGCAAATAATGGTAGAACATGCCACCTTTTTTTTTTTTTTTGGTTAAAAAAATGTATATTTAGATTTAGCCAGCTGGACTCAGCTTAGGTGATCCCAACTTTGTTGGCAACATCCAAAGCATCACAGTCAGGAGCCAGTTGAACATATGCCTTCTTCTCTCCACTGGGCCTAATCAGGGTGTTCACCTTGGCCACAACGTCAAAGACCTTCTTCACAGCGTGTTTGATCTGGTGCTTGTTGGCCCTGGCATCCACAATGAACACAAGTTGTGTTATTGTCTATTTTCTTCATGGCTGACTTAGTAGTTAGGGGGACTTGCATAGTGGTCATGCTTGTTTCTCCTGGGGGTGCTCTTTTGAGATATTTGGGCTGCCTTTGGAGAATGCAGTGTCTTGGGCCATCGGAATGCCGTGATGTGCAGATCTTCTTCTTTTTTGTGACTGTGAACACCTTTCAGCACTGCTTTCTTGGCCTTCAAAGTCTTTGCTTTGGCTTCAGCTTTGGGAGGGTCAGCAGCTTCCTTCTTTTGCCTTCAGTGCCATCTTCGTGAACAATACTTGACAAAGAAATTATTTCAGTAATTTAATTTGGATTAATTTACTTTATATTAGGAATCAAACAATAAGTTATTTCTGGAAAGATCTTTTTACATTCTTCCAATGTAAGAAAAAGACGGTTCTATGGAAAAAGAAATGCATCCACAGGACGTACTGTGATATAAAAGACAAACAGACCTTGCTGAGATTTTATTATGAAATTTGATAGAAAATACATTCTGAAATAAAATTAAAATCCAATACACATTATGCCATACTGATGAATACATTCAGATGTTATTCATCCTGAAAAAAGAAAAAGAATTCATTAGAAAACCTCAGACTTGTATAACGGTTGTCAAGTACCCGACTGTGAAATTTAGTTCTTCACAAATTAAGAGTAATTTTACCTGTAAAAATGGTATTACTACACACTTGAACTCATCATCGCTTTCAAGATGATCTTCTATTCTTCAATAGCCATATTGTGGATTAAATATAAAGATGAACTTCTATAGAGGTAACAGCCACACATTTGGGATTGAGTATTGAGTATAGAATATAAAGTAGAAATATCAGTACTAATCTGAGTTTTATAATGAATTAGAATAATTTTCTAACTTAAAATTCTACTTAATTAATTTGATACATACCTTTTTATTCACATTGCAGGCTCCAAATGGACCTCTGAGAATTTCTTTTTCAACTTGTAAATATAAAAGAATTGGGAAGACAGCACAAGAAAAAGAGAACTTATAGCATGAGAGTGGAGACATGCTATAGTAAAATCAAGTCAAGTCAAGAGACCTGGATTCTGGTCCTGACCAGGTCATTACTGTGAAACATTACTTTGGATGTGCAACTTAACTTCTTTGAGGCTCAATCTCTTTTCTTGAAGAATAAGGGGGCTTGAGCAGATTTAAAATTGTAGGTTTTAATGAATTAGTAATTTAGAATATAATGACCAAGAACCTATTTAAGTTGCATTAGAACTCTTTAATTTAAAAAAGGAAACACTGGGACTTCATTTAAATTGACTTCAAAAATTACTTCAGTTTTTGCTAGAAAAGAAAATTAGTCATTACCCAAGAAACTGCTAACCCAGAAAAATGTTTGTCCTAACCCAGAATCTGAGAGATTAAAAGGACCATGGAGGTACAATCCTCCCTAGGTTTACAAATACCACCTGAAGAATATCTATAGTGACTGGAACTTGGGAGGTGCTCATTAAATGGAGCCAAGTTTTCTACTTGTTTTGACCCAATGCTCATTAAGTTACTGTATTTTTGAATGTTTATATTTTAATCTCTAGTTATTATTTCCCCCTCACAGCTTCATGTAATCATTTCTTCTATATGAAAATTAGTAATAATATGGGATATGGGCTTGTAGACTATAGAATCCAGCTAGAAATCTACTTTCACAATGAAATAGAATCAATGAAATAGAATTAACAATCTTCAGAAAAGGTTCATATAGTTTCAAACTCTACCAAACAATGCTAGCATCTGGACCATATTTTATTCATAAGGTATCATGAAAAATTTGATTAACAGTTTAAAAAAGACATACATTTTAGGATTATTTTTTACAAACAACAAAAAGCTTTACAGAATTTTATATTTCCAAAGTTTTATATAAAATATAAATAATAAGCAAATTAAAAATTGGTAGCTACTCTTATTTTCTAAATGATTTACAGAAATGGTTAACACTACAGGAAAGACTGATTTTGGAAATGGTGGTCATTAAGATTTTACTAACAAAAATTAATCATCAAGTATGAACAGGCAAAACCAATCTCCGTATGTGTATTACATGCATGCACCTTTCTTTAGGGATGCTGCAACTGCATTATATTCTGCTATATTTTTGCTGTTAAACTCACAAGACTAAAGTTATGCCTTTTGAGGCTGCTGTTCTTAGGCATGAACAAGGAAGTCACTGTCAGCCTCATTCATCTGAGTTAGCTGTCAGCCAGGAAACAAGGAAGCTAGGCTTTAGGTAGATGGGTTAGGGGCTCTACTGTTTGCTGTAGCTGCTTGGGTCTGGTCTTTGAGGAAGGTAGACTTCCAGGCACTGTATATTATGTTTGGGTAATAGGTACCAACACAACCATGATCTGGTGCTAGGGCAGAACTTAACAGGAAACATCTTTTTTCCTAGGTTACTATGTAGATAGAACAGGGCCATAGCCAGAATATCTAGTTACAAATCACACAATGGATTTGTTTTTGAATCCTTACAGACTTTAGTAAATTGTCTTAAGAACTAATATAGTAGTACAGCGTTGAAAGGACAAACAGTGAAGTCAGACTACTTGGGTGGGAATCCTGGCTCTGTCATTCGCTAGCTGTGTAACCAACAGATACATTACTTACATTCTACCTCTCTGTTCCTCATCTGTAAAACAGGGAAGTAATAGTAGGTAGCTCACTGTAGTTACACTGAATGGATTAAATAAGAAATATTACTTATAAAGGGCTGGCATGGTGTCAGAAAAGTTGTAATTGTTAAGTATATATATATATATATTTTTTTAAAAAACTGTTATCATCTCAGCTATCTCAGCTGTACTGTCGGGCAGTAAAAGAGGCGTTGATTTTCCAAGCTTGGGTTAGAATGTTAAGGAATGACATTTTGCACCTCAACCCTACAATACTGGCAGCAATTACTGCCAATCAAAGAAAAGGTGAAGCTGCAGAAACAAAGTTTTGGAGCCAAGACATTTCAGTTAGCCTTCCAAGCAAGGTGGCTTTCTTACTAGTGTCAATCTTGAGGGTCTAGATTTATTCTTATGCCCTCCGTTATTAGGCCACCGTATCACTACAATTATAGTTGAAGCTAAAAATGTTTGTCGACTGAGAAAGAGAGAGGTGATAATTTTATGAGGCTTAGGATACTTCAGAGCAAGTACAGGACTGGATGGTAGGAAACACTGAGCTCAGAATGCTCAAGGAATCCTAGCATTTTCTTAAAAAAAATTATTTATTTTAGAGAGAGACAGAGACAGCACGTGGGAGAGGCAGAAGGAGAGGAAGCGAGAGAATCTCAAGCCAACTCTCCACTGAGTGGGGGCCCGATGTGGGGCTCGATCTCATGACCCTGAGATCATGACCTGAGCTGAAGCCAAGAGTTGGATGCTTAACCAACTGAGCCACTCAGGCACCCCTAAAGGAATCCTAGCACTTCTTCTTTTTTTTTTAGGATTTTTAAAATTTTTTCGTTATGTTAACTACCATACATTACATCATTAGTTTTTGATAGAGTGTTCCATGATTCATTGTTTGCGTATAACACCCAGTGCTCCATTCAGTACTTGCCCTCTTTAATACCCATCACCAGGCTAACCCATCCCCCCACCCCACTCCCCTCTAGAACCCTCAGTTTGTTTCTCAGAGTCCATAGTCTATCATGGTTCGTCTCCCCCTCCGATTCCCCCCCCTTCATTTTTCCCTCCCTACTATCTTCTTTTTTTTTTTTTTTAAACATATAATGTATTATTTGTTTCAGAGGTACAGGTCTGTGATTCAACAGCCTTACACAATTCACAGCGCTCACCATAACACATACCCCCCCCAATGTCTATCACCCAGCCACCTCATCCCTCCCACCCCCCACCACTCCAGCAACCCTCAGTTTGTTTCCTGCGATTAAGAATTCCTCATATCAGTGAGGTCACATGATACATGTCTTTCTCTGATTGACTTATTTCACTCAGCATAATACCCTCCAGTTTCATCCACGTCATTGCAGATGGCAAGATTTCATTCCTTTTGATGGCTGCATAATAAGGGAATCCTAGCACTTTTGACACAATAAACTTTACACAGAAAACACGTCTTGACAGAGAGGTCTTCAGGAGATTCTATGTATTTTTTTCTTGATATTTCACTGATATTTTAGGTGTTTTTCAATAGCATATTTTATAATTCTCATTATAAAACTAGACACTAATGTAGAGAGAGAAACTCATTTTTTTAACTGTAAAAACTTTATAGTCTAAAATGGAGCAGTCTCCATTTGAATGAAGAAAAAAATTGAGAAGTGAGTTTTCCTTGTATCTATGTTGGGATTAAAAACCACACTGAAAGGTTCCACCAAAACCAAACAAAATTATATATGAAATAGGAAACAGAGGAGTAGTTTCTGAAGATGCAAAATAATTATTTTGTGTAACTGTGTAACTAACCTAAGTTTGAAAAACTGAATAAAGTTAACATGTGTCCCAAAAACTCTAAATATAAAAACTGGCATGACAAAAAGAAAAACTTGCCAGTAACATAAAAAGCAAGCAAGAACATTACCAAAGAACTTCCAATAATGTTCCTCGTCTAAGAAATTTGTTAACTGAAGACTTTCAAATATTCAAGCTCAGGTATTTCATGTTACATATTCTATTCAAAACACAGAAAAAAGAGAAGAGCTAGTCACCACATTTAACAAAGCAAATACAACCCCAGGATCAAAAATTGGACAGAGAAATTATTTTAAAAATGTAATTATATACAAGGTTCCTTTCATGCAAGGTACAATCCCGAGATAATTAAATTCTAAAAGTTCTTTGATTAAGTGTATGTAGGAAAGTCCCTTCTAACTTTTTACATTACATGACAATAAGTACTATTACGACAAAATATTAAAAAAATTTGGTTGAAAAAGTATTATGCTATAGTGCTAGCACATAATTAAAGTGATTTAACTATTACCAACTGATTCACTATAAAACCACAAAGAGATAATCAACTCCCCATATATGAAGAGCCCTTTGCCCAAGAATAAACCATCTTATTTAAAAAATGACCAGAGGTGCTAATAGTCAGCCAACGTTAATATGACTAAACAGGGTTCAATTTACAACATGCAGACAATATGGATACTACTTCTGTTAAGTTTTTGAAATTTAATTTTGCTATATATTAAGCTTTATCATGAGAAAAGGTAAATCTATTTCAGCTGCCTAGAAATGCATATCATTTAATACAAATCAAGGAATATATGGTAGGCATTTTGGAAGAAATAACATAACTGTATAATAAAAATTTTGATTTAAATCAATTTAATTTATTCTCTTTTTGTAAAACAGTGCTTCTCAAGCCTTTAAAAATCTTCAGAGAATATTCAAAGTTTTATGACCAACCAAAAAGTCTTAAGAGTTTGATTATGTCCTCAAAGTTTGATTATATTTTGTTTTCCTATTTTAAACTGAAAACCCTGGACTGGGTAATGTATTTCCACGTATATTCATAAAAATAGTCAAAAGGATTAATATAAAATACTCTCCATCAAGCATTTTTACTTGTGTGTGTGGGGGAAGGGAAGAGTCTTAAGAAAATTCCCATTTAACTAAGGGTAGTGCAGATTACAGAACAAAAGAGTCAATATTTTAGAGAACTATTTCTTTGAAATTGGGGGTTTTGAAAATTTGAGGAAGATGGAATAAAGGTAGGAGAAAATGCAAATTAAAAAAAAGATCTCAAAATCTGAAAGTATAAAATTGTACTATTTATAGCATAAATTGAACCCTGCTTTATTTTAAATAAAGCAAAAATAAAAATAGAATAGTTCACATTGTAAGTCAGAAGAACTGCAATCCCAAGTTAACTGATTTTTAATAATTACTGCCCCAATGAGTTTAGAAGAAACAGCCCAAGAGATTATTGTTTAGCACAGAAATAACAAATTAATATATACAAAATGCAATGCATTAGATCATTTTCTGGTGTTGAGTAACACTGCATATAGCAAGGATTAGAAACAAAAGAGAAATTTCTATTTCCTACCTATATCACTGGCTACCATCTTGGAAAACTTTCTGCTTTTGGTCTTCACTGAAAATAATATTTTGATATAAAATGTCAAAATCTATTCAAAGTAAACTAAATGAATTAAACATAATTAAAAGAAAATACTTTAAAATAAAGATACTATACCCTTTTCTATAAAATTATTCATTTTTTGTTCATCATCTGAATTGTGTGGTGATGAAGAACCTACACAAACGAAGACAATGGAAGGAACAGTCACATATCAGTCACAAACACAGAGTTGTCATAGGGAAAAGTACAAACAAAATAATCTGGTAACTTCTAAGGTAAGTTTCCATACTATTGGCCACAAGAAAATGTCATGCATATAATTAATAACAACTCTTATAATATTACAGTAAGCATAGCAAACAGTAGTGTATTATCTTTCACAGTAGAGAGATCCCTAGTATATATAAATATTAACTTCAATCTATAACAATTTTTCCTTAAGTTACAACCATTTAGAAAAATCTTGGCACAGATGTTAGAGAACAGATAAAAATATAAGCAGCAATTAACTGTTTCTGAAAGAAAATGCAAAAATTCTTTGACACTAGTTAACTGAATAAAGTTCATCCAGAACTAAGAATCCTGTGCAAGAAGTATACTGGCAAAATTTATTTTAAGATTCACTTTCTAGATACAAATTTTAAAATTATATATAAATTCTATTATTACCACAGGGATCTTTAAAATACTGAGGATAATACTTATAATTTTAGGTATGTTCAAATATTTACTTATGTCTAATGAGGTAAGAAATATTTAATTTTATTCTGGCTGTGACTTCCAATAAGTTTAACTAATATTTTTATAATTAAGATTTTATTTGTCCATTTTCCTTAAAAAAAGGTGTTCAATTTTTTATCTCATTTCTTTAATTTCTAACATAAATGTTTTATTTATAAATGTAATCCTAAGTAGTATTCTAGTTGACAACTTTTATTAAATGCTCTGTTCTTCATAATAGCACATTTCAAATGACATCTCACCCATAAATTTTCATAATCTCCTCGCTATAAATCATTTCCCCTCTTTTAAATTCCAATAACCCTTTATCTGTACTCTTCTCTTATGATATTCATCACTTAATACCTCATATTTTAAAAAGTTTACACACATGTGCCCTTTTCATTGCACTGCACTTCTAAAAACTGGGCCCCCATTTGATTCATCTTTGCAACTCCTTTGCACTCAGCAGAGTGCTTCTTTGCTGAATGAGTAAATTTTCTGATAGAAGCAAATACTTGAAACATAACTGGAAGTAAATAAAAAGTCTTTCTGTACTTTTTTTTTTATCTCAGTGAAAGTACTGAATCTTAATAAAGAAGGTCAAAGTTTGACCTTCTCCTCCCCCAGAAAAATCATACTTTCTTTGGCCAAGTGGAAAATATCCTGGAAATCTCTCCATAGACCAAGTAAAACCTGCAACATTGGCAGCATCCATTACTTCTATAATAGCCTTAGAAGATTACTTTTTCAAAACTGTGTTGTTTTGCTAAGTAGCATTTATGGATCCTCATAAATCCTTTATCAAAAAATATCACGTAAGTGGGGTGCCTGGGTGGCTCAGTTGTTAAGCATCTGCCTTCGGCTCAGGTCATGATCCCGGGGTCCTGGGATCGAGCCCCGCATCGGGCTCCCTGCTCCGCAGGAAGCCTGCTTCTCCCTCTCCCACTCCCCCTGCTTGTTCCCTCTCTTGCTGTGTCTCTCTCTGTCAAATAAATAAATAAAAAATCTTTAAAAAAAAAATATCACGTAAGTAGTTATGGACTCAGTGATATTTTCAGGAATAGAAATGGTTATACTTGTTTTTCAAAGAAGATAACGGTTATAAGAGGTTATAAATATTTTAAAATATCACAGTCACCTCTGATATTAAATAGCCCCAGGAATGTAAAAAAATTTATTAATACTTGTTTTAGTTGATGTATTTCATCTTAGAGCAATAGCTACATATCTAAATATGAATATAAAATTATAAAAATGTTTTTTAGTATTTCCAAAAAAAATTTCCAAAGTAAGCCATAAACGTAAAGGAAAGATTTATTTTTCCCCTAACTGAAAATGCCTGCCATTGGTCTTCAGAATTTTTGTCAAATTCCAAAAATGCTTTCAGCATATTCCACTTGAATATGTTTACCAAATAATTATGATTAAATAAACACAGAAAATATTTACAGCTTTTTGTTTTTTTCTGGGGTAAATGGTAACTCCTGAAGGCAGTACTTATATTATGGCCTATGTGGCCCTGGGTTTTCTTCAAACCAAAATAACCTAACAAATGTTTTTATCATTTTCACATACGCAAAGGCACACACATTTCTGATGCAGTAATAACACAAAATTCCAATATTATTAAAGTGCTCAGTAAAGCAATCTGAGTTTTTTGAAATACAAAGATCAAATGGAGATAGCAGAAGTTCTTTCTTATGTTAATTCAGGATGCCAGAATTAATATTTTATTTCAGAAAGACTGCTGGTTTATTTAAAAACAAATGGAAAAGCCAAATTAAGTTCATTACTTGG